AAGCTCCAAAATAACATTACGGGAAGCTATTTTAATAGTGGCTCACATTATAAACAAATTACCTACAATAGTCATTGGGTTCAAGAGCCCTATACAAGTGCTAACAAATTAGCTACAATAGTCATGGGATGTGTTTCTTTATGTCAATTTTAATGAAGAAGATCGTTGCTTTGATGTTATATGAAAGAAATATTATTCACAAATAAAACTCTATGTGGGTTCAATCATACAAACAATTTTCTTACAATGGCCAAATCATCCTTACTAATATGCATGCTACTTCAAGCCCTAAATCAATCCCTGATGCTTTGAATAATGAGAATTGGAATAAAATTATGAAGTAATAAAAACTCTTTTAAAAAAGTAAAATATAATAATTCATAAAATCAGCACCACCTACAACAACAACATCAAGCAATTATTCCACTATGTGGGTTCAGCTATATGAATCTTTTTTCTCCATTGTGTCCTTTTAAGAGTCAAATTTTCATTTAAATGTAATAAAGAAATGTCATTTCTAATATTTTATAACCAAGTATTTTAAATTGTATCTCTACACAAGCCAAATCCAATACATCTACTTTCCTAATCGTGTCATTAGAAGGTTGCCATTTTATGTGACCAAACCACCTAAGGTGACTCTATCTAATCGTATCATCCACAAGAGCTACTTCAATCTTTTCACATATATGCTCATTCATATCTTGTCTCTAAGAGTAAAGCCACTGATCCACCTGAGCATCCTCATCTCTCATTTCTGCAACACAACTTAATCTTATGCTTCTCTGTTAATGGCCAAAATTCTGCACAATAAAGCATTGCAGGTCCCACCACCGTCTTATAGAATTTTCCATTAAGTTTGAGGGATACTTTTCTATCACACAATAAGCCCTATGCATTCCTCCACTTCAACCATCCAACTTGAATTCTACTAATAATATCCCATCTATTTCACCATCAATTTGAACAATATATCAATTTGAACAATTAGACCCAAGACTAAATCAATAAATACCATATGAAGATCCTCCTTATTCTCTCTATACTTCTCCATCAAACCTCTCAATAAATATATAGCTTCCATAGTAGACCTACTCGACATGAATCCAAATTGATTTTTATAAACATTAGTATCACATCATAACATATGCTCCATAACTCTCTCCCATAGTTTCAAAGTATGACACATCAACTTAATTCATTTATAATTCACACAACCTTATGCATCACCTTTATTCGTAAAAATGAGAATCAACACACTCATTCTCCATTGATATGACATTTTTTAGTCTTCAAAATAATATTAAAAAATTTAGTAAGCCAAGAAATTCCTTCATTTCCTAAGCATTTCCACACCTCAATTGGAACATCATTAGGTTCAACAACTTTTCCACACTTCATTTTTTTTTAAATCTCTCTAGCTTCAAATTTACTAATACAATAATAAAAAAAAATTATTTTATTTAGGATGCTAATTCCTAATATCACTAAAAGAAATCGTATTCTCACAATCTTCATTGAAAAGTTTAGTAAAAAATCTCATCCATCTTTGTTGAATATCCCTCTTCTAATAAAAGCATTTTTTTATCTTCATCCTTAATACACTTCACTTAAACTAAATCTTATTGTTTAGAATGCTAATACAGCCATTGCTATATCTCAAGTCTTGAATGAGAAAAATGGAGAGTTGCATTAGATAGTTTGACAGCCATAATAAAAAGTGACGAATAATCATAACATGAATTCTTTGATAATTCATAAAATCCCCAAATGAAAAAAAAAAACAGAAAGAAGTAAATAGGTATGAAATTTTTTTACTAGAATGTTATAACAATGACCCATCAATCTATGGACTATTTTAATTATTTTATAACTAATTTTATTATCTAATTTCATATTTTTCCTATTAGAAACATCCATATGATTGTATAAATTATATACATATTAAAATGAAAAACACTCATAAGGATTATAATTATTCTTATCAATTTTTTATAATGATTATAACAAAATTAAAAATCTCATAAGGATAATACTGAGAAAATGAAAAGTTTTATCTCATAACATTTATATGAGAAGCTAGGTACTAATGAAAGAGAAAAATATACATACAAAGGAGGAAAAACTAAGAAATTTAAAATAGCAAAATAATAGGTTAATCAAAATTAGATGTGCCATACTACAACAACAACAACATCAAGCCTTTATCCCACTACGTGAAGTCGGCTATATGAATCCTTTTTCTCCATTGTGTCCTATTAAAAGTCAAATTCTCGTTTAAATCTAATAAAGAAAGGTCATTCCTAATTTTTTTTAACCAAGTCTTTTTAGGTCTACCCCTACCTTTCTTAACATAAGTCAAATCTAATACCTCTACTCTCCTAACCGGGTCATCGCAAGGCCGCCGTTTTATGTGACCAAACCATCTAAGGCGACTTTCTCTAAGATAATAGTAAAAAATGAAAACTTTAAGCAAAGATAAAAATGTTGCTTTTGAGAAATTATTAAACATTTTTTAAACATTTTGGAAAAATATATCGAACAAAATAATAAAAATTATTACAGATGTAGTAAAGAAATTATGCGATTACTCTGAAAAATATGAAATAAACGAAGTGCATCAAACAGAAAAATGCATCCATATAAGATACCTATTGAGCTTAGAACCGTAATAGAAAACATTAAAGACTAAAGGGGCTCAAAATGATTAGAAAAGTATTTTGGTATCAATACTAAAGAATAAAAAAAGTGCTATTATAAGATTATATTTATATATGAATCAAACTAAAAAAAGGGTATAAATCTTGAAATCAAACAATGAAGTCATGGGAGTGAAATAAAACATAAATTTAGAAAACTTGGGTTGCTATAAAGGAATCAATTTGGCTGCCATGAAGATCCAATAAAGGGTAAATTTATGTTTAAACATTAAAATGCATCGAAAAGAAAAAAAAAAGTTTCATTCAGTTTTTCTTAATTTAAACAAAGCATATGATCAGCGTGGTGAGAAATGATTTTGTAGTATGGAAAAAATTGTGTTTGTCATAGGCTCATCATAGATGTTAATGATATGAATGATGAAGCATCAATAAATATTTGAAGCAATTATGGAGCAATCAAAGAGATTTTAATTACAATAGGATTGTATTAAAGAACAAGAATAAGTAAAACGAATTTTTATATCAATTATTGGGTTGCAAAAAATGTTATTTTTGCTAGTGTGATGTTAGAATTCAACAGCCAATATTACTATAAGAAAATTGATGAGTCAAAACACGTCTTAAATATATTCTAAAGAAAATGAGAATACAAAAAAGGATATAACTTTAATAATATGATAGTTGGTTCTACTACAAAGAATGCCTCAAGAATATTATGTGATGAAAAAAAATCACATCATTTAAAGGTAAACTTTTTACTGAAATTTGATTGGCTATGTTATATGATTTGACTATTGGGCAAGAAAAGGGAATGTTGATGGCCCAGATGAATGCAGCAAAAATGATAATAAAACCATGAATATGTAGCAAATTTTTTAATGGAAATTTGAGAAATTATTATTTTAAAAGAAAAATGAAAGTAAAATCTATAAAAGATAAGATAGAGAAAATAAATTTAGGAGTTATTTGTTTCAATGTAATTTTATGCTATTTATATAAGATGTTCGGTTTGATTTTGTCTCTCACATTAGGTAATCAATGGTAACAATTGTATTCATGATTGAGGTGATCTACATAGCAATCGAATTCAAAGCTATTTGATTAGCTAGATCTTGATGGCTTGAAAGAGATGGAAAAAAAAAGGTCTTAACCAACATTACTAATTCAACATGGCATAAAATTCTTTAAGATGCCATTAAACCAAACACAATGCATTTGGAATATAACACTGTTCTCCGAATAACATTACTATATTAATAATAATACTATGTAAGTAACATTATTATATGGGCAGATAAAATCAATATCAAAAGATTAGAATGCAAAATGAGTAGACCAAAGATAACAAAAATAGCAAATTCTTCAACTAAAGATTGTGCGTAATAGGTTTAACTCATCATCGATCACACAATACGAACAATTGTGAAATGCGAATTTATAAAGTAAACTCAAAATAAATGGAAAAACATTCATTATGATTATGAAGATGACTAGCTAAAGATGACGACTCTCTTAAAAAGTAAACATTTAATAGATCTGAAATTAATCATTTAATAGCATGGAACAATATGATTGTTATATGACAATGCAAAAGAAAATGCAAATTCTTTTCCAAAAGTGAATGGTTGAGAATAAGTAAATGCTAAGGCAATTTTTTCTTGGCATTGTGTTTAATATGTCATCAGCATCATCAGCCTAACTATTTTGCATTTTAGTAGCTCACTAAATTAATGGGACCATTTAGATAATCTTCCAAGATATACTGAGTAACTGCATTTCCAACATGTGAAAAAACAAACGCATTGCAAACCCTTCTCACGATAAAGTCAAGTTACATTGTAAGCTATTGTTCTCTTTCTAAGGTCGTTAACACCTGAATAACAAAAACATGACAGAATGGGTAGAATATGGAACCTTATTTCACAGGGTTCAGAGTTTAGTAATTTCTCTGCAAATGCCTCAGTAACCCAGAAGTGACTTTGCCTTTCACGACTAGTGTAATTGCCAAACACCAATATTAAAGCAAAAATGACTACACATATGGCTTTGAAGTTTCTAATAGCTTCCAAATATGCAGTAAAATTAAATACGAGTTCTTTAGTCTAGAACACTCCAAAGATGATTTCAACAGAATACAACCAGCACATTGACTGAAAGCGCATGTACTGCAATAAAAATTAAACTTCAACAATCTACTCCAACAAAGAATCATGATCAAATTTTGATACAACATAAATAATAAAATTTAGTAAAAAAAAGATCTAACCAAGTACCAGTCAAAAAACATGAATCTGCATTTCTTAAAACAACCACCAAAAACTCAAAAAATAATTATTTTACCTTGGTATCTGTATCCATCTTTACAGGTTTTTCTTCACTCTCTTGTTTGTCATTTTCCACACCAGCATCATAAGCTGTGCTCTTAGCATCTTGGAAATTAGCATCAGTTCCAGCTAAATCATTGTTAATTGCTTCATCTGTATCCATTTTAGCATCTTCTTTGCCAGTTGCATTCTCCACTGTCACAGGAACATCTACTTCTTCCTCCTCCAGCAACTACCAAGCATAATTTTCATAATTGTATATCTGAGAACGAAGAACTATTATAAGAAAAAAAAAATCCAGCTAATGCTCTGAGACTTACAGTTGCAGATTCAATAGAGACAATCCCATGCAGATTCAACCGAACTTTAACCTTTAACTTTGCCCTTTCACCGCTAGTAGTTTTGAAAGGTCCAATCTGCTAGGATCATAAATACGTCAACAAAGTTGTAGGTCATATAAAATATAAACATGGCTCTAAGACTACATAGTTTACTGCTGAATGCCCACATTTACATACCGTATATGTGCTGATTTTGGTAGGTATACAAGGATCATTGACATCAGCATATGTGACATCAACCGAGAATGTATTGGATCTATAAAAGGTAAGAGCCTTTACACTAGGGATTTGGTTCCCCTTAGGAAAAACAACTACACTTTGTTGAGCATCTGCTGCTTCATTCTGCGAGTCATTACTGGACCCTTTCCATGACAGGGAAATGGTGAAGGGAAAACTCTCATGTACCTTCAAAATAGAAGCAATAATGCTATCAGTACATTATTGAACTAACATATGCAGTTATATTACCAGAAAAGTACAGCAGGAAGGAAACAGAGCATTTTAACCATTAGATGACTGCTAAAAGTATATGTCATTCCAGCCAACAAAACATTGAACATTCAATCCCAACGGGCTGTATCAAAATGCACCAAAATGTATTCCTAGCAAAATGTTCAGGCACAAGTACTTTGTTCCATGTTATCAGATTCAAGTGACTATTCAAAAGATTTACACAGCTATCTCAAAGGGATCATATAATCATCTGCAATGAGATATGTACAACTGGCCAGGCAACACTACCCATCAAAATGGTGACAAGGACAGATTTATCTTATAATCATGAAAACATGGCAATATATTGAAGTTAGAAAACATGTTTTTGGAAAGCAGCAGATCAGTAGATTCCATCATTGAGCTGGATGAGGTAGAAATGAACATGGTTTTAGATATCAAATTTGATATGGAACATTTTAGTTATAGTATTCCTTAGGAATAGTAGATCTAGTTTTATACATGTTTCTAGAAAGTTCTTATGTTAGCTTATATATAGAATGTTGTAGTAGGATGAGTATTGATGAAATATTATTATCTTTGAAGCTTTTGAAGCTTGGTGTTTGTCTTAGTTCCCTGGATTGAGATTTACTTCTTGCTAGTCCGATTCTTCCAACGATCCAATGATTATTCCCCACATCAAAATTCCTCTCAGATAGGACGATTTTACTTTCACTTGTAAAATGAGTGGATACAAATATCATCTTCTAAAACATATTTTCCATATACAACCAACTAACTGAGCCTAAAAGTAGAACATTGACTAATTCACATGAGCATTGAATAAGCAAGAAACATTATTGAGAGATCATTGTATCCCTCAAGCACACCAGCAATAATGAAAGACTCTTCAACAACAGAAAAAACTACACAAAAAATTACAAAGAATTCACGGTGTAGAATAATCTGAAACTATATGCAACTGTCAAAAAAGTCCCAATACCATATTTGGGAGAAAATGTGAGAGTAACAAAAAACTGGAAGAATTAAATTAAAAGACATAGTTCTCATTTTAACACCGCAAGCTGCTGAAAAAGAAAGTACCTGAAACTCTCGAACTTTAAAGGTAGGGCTCAAAATTGCACATTGAAGGGCACAGCCACGAGCAACACACTCACTTGCATTCATTGTCCGTTTTGGCTCCTTACCAAAGAAATCAGTCAAAATTCTAATAATAGCTGGAACACGAGATCCCGATCCAACAACTTCAACAGAATGAATGTTCTCCACTGTCAAACCAGCCTCCTGAAGAGCATTCACAAGGGGTCTTTTAACACGCTCTAGTATCAAAACACTAATCTGCTCAAACTCTTCTCTTTTAATAAAACCCCTCACATCCTTCTCATCCATCAAGCATTCAATATTCAATGGCGCCTCAGGGTTTGCACTCAGCATTTTCTTCAGCTTCTCACACGCTGCACGGAGCCTAATGCATGCACGAGCATTCTGATAAACATCAATCTTGTATTCATCCTTGAACTTGACTGCAAAGTAGTTGAATAGGACATCATCAAAATCTCTACCACCCAGAGATCGATCATATGTGTGTGCCAATATCTTCAGCTGCCCCTTTTTGAATCCAGCAATACAGACCTGCATACTTGCATGACCAACATCAATAAATGCCACATTAAGCTGATCATTCTCCGGCAAATCAGTCTTATAAATCCCATAAGCTAAAGCGGTTGCCGTTGTCTCATGGAGCAAACGGAGAGGATGCAAACCCGAGATCGTGGCAGCATCAATCACAGCTCTTCTCTGCAGATCAGTGAAATACACAGGAACCCCAATGCAACAGTCGACAACTGCAGCATTGAGATTCTTCTCAGCAATGCCTTTCAGATTTGAGAGAACCATGGCAAGGACCTGCGTGGGCGTGAAGGCCTTCAGTTCACCAAGGTACCTGGCATGGATAAGCGGAAACCCATCCGGTCCTTCAGAGACAGCAAAAGGAAAGGCATGGATATCGAGCTGCAGCTCCGGATCTGAAAATTTCCGGCCAATCAAACGCTTTATTTGAGAGATGGCGTTCTTAGGGTTCATGGTGGAAGTAGCAGCTCCAGCCGTGCCGATGAAGCGTTGCTTCTCCCCAAAGCAAACAATGGCAGGAGTTTCACGCTTGGATTCATCATTCAGAACGACATCAATTCCCCGCTGCCGGGCTACCGCAACAATGCAGCTCTCATTACCGAGGTCAAAACCTACCACGCTCATCTTCGACCGATAATCTAAACTGATCCCGACCAAAAATATTTATCTGAATAAACACCGATGCATCAAAAATCTAATACTTGTACTATAACTACAAAAAACTAAGGTTTCTCCGACCGAAGGAAGCAGATCTGAGAGGAGGAGATAGCGACAAATCAAAAATTATGTTTTTAAGACAAACCTGGGAGGAGCTCTTTGAGGCCGCCGGCAAGAGGGTTTTGATCGATCAGGCGTCGATTGAAAGGTTTTTGCTCTACAATTGCAGCTTAGAGGGGAAGAAGACGCGAGTAAAGGAGATATATAGAAAAGAAATGGCCTTTCTAGAATCCTCGAATCGAAACTACTCGACGACGAAGGGAAGACGAGTCTCAAGAGATCTTCACAGTGCGGGGTGCCTAAATAAGATCTGGACCGTCCGTTGAATGGTCGGCCGATCGGATGGGAGTGAAGAAAAGGTTGGGTGAATGAACGGCTGATATTAGCTGATGGTTGGTTTTACAGGGTTCTTCGATGCGGTGAAGAGCAAGAAGCGTTGTGGCTGCATTATGGCTAGAAATAGAGCGAACGAGATCTGAAGCAGCCCTCATTAGTAATTTTTATTACGTTAGCTCTACGTTCGGACGCTAATAATATGTCGTCACGTATTCCCACTCTTTACTGCGTGGCCCGACGACCTGACCCGGAACGGAACCCGGTTTTGCTAGGTATTGCTCGGTATTGTTAGGTATTGCTTGACAATAACGAGAAATACCGCTCTATCAAGACCAATACCTAGCAATACCGAGCAATATCTAACAATACCTAGCAAAACCGGGGTATTGCTCGGTATTACTCGGTATTGGTCTTTGTAGAATGATATTTCTCGTTACCGAGCAATACCTAGCAATATCCCGGTCTGCACAAATCAGCCAATACATAGCAATACCGGGTCTGTGTCCGGATCAGGTCGTCGGGCCGCGCTGTAAAAATATGAACACGTGGCACCATTTTATTGGTGTTCAAACGTAAAGCTACATCAGGACACCGGATGTAATAAAAATTCCCTTATTAGCTAGTATTTCGGAATAAATAAGAGAAATTCTTTGGCCATATCATAATATATTTTAGATTAAAAATTTTAATTTTAATAAGAGATATATCAATAAATTTAGAAATTTTTTGAATGGTTTTTACTCAATTGAAAAGCTTTACTAGATAAGTGAAGTTATAGAAGTTCAATCTTATATTTGATCGCCGCTGACGGTCTCTTATAATTTTTATTGCCTCAGGTTACCTGACGTAGAGATACATCAGGTAGCCTATAATATATCGTCACGTGTTCTTACTCTTTACCGCGCGGCCTGACGACCCAACCCGAAACGAATATGCGCGGTATTTGCTCGGTATTGCTAGGTACTATTCGGTATTTGCTCGATATTGCTCGGTATATTGCTTAGTAGTTGCTCGGTATTTGCTCGGGATAGGAAGTTACAACATTTTAATCAAAAGCAAAAACGGGATCCCGCTCGCTGTGGAGATAACCTTCTCCATTTCGCGTGCTTCTTCGGCTCCACTCGTGGCCGTTCGACTTTTCTCCATCGACGACTTTCCCTTTCCACCGGATCAGAAGCTACGAAGTTTGATCGGAGGCAACAAACAGAGTTCGCTAGCTGTAAAGGTAGTTTCCTCTCTTTCGCGTGCTTCTTCGACCCTCTACAGTTGATCGACTTCGTTCATCCGGCATTCCCTGCCGCCGAACCGGAAGTTACAGCATTTCAACGACATTTCACCTGCGAGAAATGTCGAGCAATACCGAGCAAATACCGAACAAATACCGAGTAGTACCCAGCAATATCGAGCAAATACCGCGCATATTCGTTTCGGGTTGGGTCGTCGGGCCGCGCGGTAAAGAGTAAGAGCACGTGGCGATATATTATAGGCTACCTGATGTATCTCTACGTCAGGTAACATGAGTCAATAAAAGAGATAAACTTGTACAAGAGAAATGAGCTTTAATCGACATCGGTGATCTTTAATTCTACCAATCTGTCTTTCAGCTAATTTACAATAAAAAATTTGGACTTACACAAAAGTCAATGCATTTTTTCCCAGCCTAAAAGGTATTTATAGATCCAGGAGTGGAGCATGTTCGGAAAATTTTTCACTGAATTTTCTGATTTTTTTAAATATTTTCTTGAAGTTTTTAAAGCCAAACCCCACATTTTCCTTTTTTAATAACTAAAAAAGAAAATATTTAATTAAAATAAATAAATGCACATATAATTAATTATTTCCTTTCCAAAAAAAATTAGAAATTCTTTCAAATATTTCTATTTTTGAAAAAAATTAAAAAGAAAATAATTTTAAAAAAATATGGGGTCATTGTGCATGCGTCTTCATGTGTTGTGTGCACAAATTTTTACCCATTCAAACAATTTTGCGGTCCTCTCGAGGTCTAGACCAAGGGTTGTGAAAATCGGATCAGACAACAAACCGGAAAAAGGAGAGGTTTATAGTTCGACCAGTCGAACCAGATGATATAATAAATAATAATATACATATACTTTAATATTAATTATTTTTTATTTAAATTACATATTTAAATGTAAATTATAAATATATTATATTAAAAACTCACTCTTTTTGTTTTTACTCATGTTAGGAGTTTATATGGAGTAGTTGAGCCATGTAGGTATATTACAAATAAAATTTAATCTTAGTATTTAATACTTATTTAATGGTTTTAATATATAATATTTATATTAATTGATTAAATTTAACATTTATTTAATATTTAATATTATTTTAAACCTGCCGGTAAAATTGAAGGACCGGGAGTCCCGATTGAACCAGTGGTTTAAATCGATTCTAATCGGTTAAGTGCATAGCAAGTTGTTAAGGCTGTGAACCAGATCGAACTTCATATCGGTTCACATTTGAACCGATCGGACCAGCCGGTCTAGTCCGATTTTTAAAATGTTAGTCTAGACTCAATTTTTGCACTTTTAGAGCCCATAGAGCCTCTATGACTTTTTTTAGAAATTTAAATTATGTCAAAGTGGAATTCTTCATCATTTTTTGTTATGAACAACACCGCAACTTCATGAAACACTTAAATTATAATTAAAGATATTTTACTTGATTCGTGAACCTAAAGGGAAATCCACATTTTTGTCCAAGGAGGAGCCGGGTCTCATAAATTTTTTGAGATTATAATTTTACTTCACAAATATTTTAGGCGCAAACACAAAATTTCGGACTCCATGAGCTTCGAAATTTGATAGTATGGGGGCAACTTATATGTTATCAACAATCGCATTGATTAGGCATGAATTTCGAGGCATATTTAAATTTAAAACTTTCAAAATTAAATTCAATACCATTCAAACTCTAGATTTAGTAAACTTTTAGTCAAACTAAACATTTTAATGGGGCGAACCCAACAACACTAGAATCGGTTCAAAATGTGTCAACATGAGCCCAAATCAATGACTTGATGCATATTTGAAAGCTTCTGAATAGTAATTGAGTGGCCAATTGATGTCCAAATATTACATTCTTATTGTCAAATCGAGTGAATCAATAAGACAAAAGAAACGAGCCGAAGATCACTTAATTTTAACATCATTGAGGCACTAAAATGTTGAATGGGTGCGCTCTATAATCGAGATAATTAATATGGGTTATCCAATGGAGCACTCTAAATATGCTTCAGATCTTCTTCATATTTATAGAGCATAACACTCTCAAGATTTATAAATAGACATATGCTATATACATGAGATGGATCTTTTGATTACTTGGACCTTAGGCTAGAAATTCAAGAGAGCTATAAGGCATGAATTTCAGAGCACCATTGTCGGCAAGCCCTCTCCATCTAGTCGCCACCGTCAGATCTTCATCCAACCTTTATCACATGACTATTAGACCTGTCAACAATTGATCCGACCCGAAAACCCGATCCGAAACCGACCCGAAATTCTCGGGTTCGGGTCGACCCGGTTAAATAACGGGTCGGGTCCGGGTTGACCCGGAAACTCGATAAAAACCCGAATTGACCCGCGACTTGAAATATTTAGGGCATCTGTCGAGGCGTCGAGCGACTCATATGCTCTCAGTCTCAGCTCTCGCGGCTCGCCTCTCGATTCTCGACTTCTCGTCTCGTTCCGTCTCCTGAGTTCTGTTTAGGGTTTCCGAATCTCTCATTCTCCTCTCCGCCTCTCAGTCTCCTCTCCAGTCTCCGCCTCTTAGTCTCGTCGGCACTCGGAACGAAGGCGTCTACGCTTACGCTTCACACATTCCCTAATCTATTTCACTGTTTGTATCTCGTTTCTCATTGCTATTAGTACTTTTTGATAGTTTAGCTTTAGAAGATGAAGCCATGAAGGTTTTGACTTTGATATTTTGTGTTCTTCATTTTATCAGATTATGGAAGTTGAAAAATGAAAATTGCAATGAAGCGATGATGAATAACCTTCTAAGCGTCGCCCGCCGACTACGGTCCTCCTGACCTACGTCGCCCGCCGACTGCAGTCCTTCCAACAAAGCGAATACGTTGATAGTAGTCTTTGTATTTACATCATGTAATGTACTCCATAAGATGTACATCAAGCTAAGGCCTTCTCCCAAGGAAGGGCCTCATTTGTAATCAACTGCAAATAATAGTGGATTCATTCAAACTGGGCTAGGCCCTGTGGTTTTTTCCCCTTTTTACAGGGGTTTTTCACGTAAAAATCTCGGTGTCTCATAAATGTTATACCCTCTCTCCTTATCTGATTGCGTGCCAGATTTTCGTACAACGCTAAGACGATAAATCTTATATTTCTCTACCGCCGCGAATACTCCTGGACGCAACAAGTAATAATAGTAGTGTCATTGGTAACAATATCAGTAGTATTCATAAAATCGATGACAATAACAATAAAACAGTAAAATAACAATAAAATAGTAAAAAATACTCTATAAAGTGGTATCAATACGGGCAATCTAATGGAGCACTCCGAACCTGCCTTAGGTATTCTTCTTATTTATGGGGTGTGTCACTCATGAAAATTTATAAATATTCTCCAACTCTATATATGAGGGGGGACCTTTAGCAAGAGATTGAAGAGAGCTCTGAGACTTCAAGAACTCTAACACTGCTGCCATGAAACCTCCACCGATCGACATTCGACTTCCACCCTACCATCGTCAGACCACTACCCGACCACCAACCCCCTCTAGATTTTGCCTGACCATCGTCGGACCACCATCCGATCATTGACTACCTATGGACTACCACATGGCCTCCACCTGTCGCCAAACTTCCACTCAGCCATCTTCAGACCACTGCCTGTCCATCGCTGGACTTCCCCCTAGTAGTCGACCATCGCCAAATTTTGAGTTGACCATCATCGAACTTCCCCTGGCCATCGACTAATTTTGTACTTCCACCCGTCTGTCGACCGCTGCTGAACTTTGGTTGAACCATCATCGGACCATAACCCGGGCGCTAACCACTACAGGATTACCACCTGGTTGCCGACCTCTACTGAACTTCTACCCGACCATCTTCAGATCACCCCCCAGCCACCAATCGTTGCCAAACTCTCACCCGACCATCATCGAATCACTACCCTGTCTCAGACACCGTCAAACCTCTACATGATCATCGCTAGATATTTGCCCAACTCACTAAACTAATATAATTTCATTGCTTCCAATGTCGAGGGATGGATCAATCATTATAATTCACTCAAATTTAGTTGAATCTTTTCACCTGGATGAGGCCTTGTGATTTTCCCTCTTCTGGTTTTCCACGTAAAAAAGATTTGGTATTTTAATGCTCTCTCTCTCTCTTTCTCTCTCCCTCTCTCTCTCTCTCATAAATCACATGTTTGTGAGTTGGATATACATGCATCGTAAAGAAAAAAAAATTACTCACTCAACCACCGCAAATATTATAGCCTTCAATAATATTATTATAAATGCATTGTATTATTATAAATTAGAATGATAATGTACTCAATTTGTTGTGACTCACTATATATTTGCAAAATGTTCACAAATATTATCAAAGAATTTAAATATGTTGAAGAAGAGAGAATGTGTATCATTGATGCGACGCTCCGAGAGAAAGATATGTATATCATCTTATTTTAATATTTTAATGTTTTAATGGTTCTTTCAGTATATTAGAGATAATTATTATTATAAATTTTAGTGGATGAAATTTCAAATACGTCCGACCATGTACTTCTACCTCTGTAATTTGAGCCTCTTAACTAAATAATGACAAAAGTAATATTAGAGGTCAAGGATTATCTTAGGAATATGAATTATGGTGAAAGAGTCATAGGATTTATTAATGAAATTTATTTGTAAACAAAATTAGATATTTGATTATAGTGAATGTTAATTGTCTTATACATACGGAATTGTTGACATTGTTTTCACCCATACTTGGGTCAGGGGGGTTGACTTGGTCAAATTGACCAAGCCAGGCCCAAGATTCCTCCCATTGAGTTCAGTAGGTCAAATACAGTCTGTGGAGCCTATACCCAGGCCCTGGGTCAACCTGGTTGACCCAACTAGCCCAAATCCCCTTTTTTAAATTTCAATCAAATTCAAATCATCCTTGACTCAATCTCCCACCTATTTGGGTCCAATTGACAATGTTGACTAGGTCAACCCATGCCTTGGTCAAACATAGCCTTTCATGGTAAAATTTGACCTATTTACGTCAAATGCCCTCTATTCAATGCATTTAAAACTTTCCAAACGATCCCTTGACCCAAACCACCGCCAAGGAAGATGGTTAAGATGATCCTAAATGTTGATCATAAGCCTAAGTCTATAAATAGGCCTGTTAGGGCAACATGAAGGAGACATTTGCTCTTGCTTTCACCCTAGTCTATCTCAACCCGAGATATTTTGTTTGAGAGCTCTCCTAGACTCCCTCCACTTCTCCCAAGTGAAACCCAACCGATCAGGACCACCGATGATCGATTTTTGGCCACCCTTTCTTGAAAACCATCCAAGGCTTATAGTGGACAATCCAAGGCTTCTCAAACCCGGGTTCCTGAAGAAATATTAATCATAGATAGTCTACAAGCTTAGATATTTAAAAATTTCTAAAATCCAACAATGAGATTCTTCAAAAACTTTAGATTTAGATCACGACACTTAGATCTATATAACTTTTTAATGAGAGTTTTTTTTAAATCTTCCAAATACCCCCCCTCCCCCCAAAATAATTTTGTTTATTCGTAGAATCTAAGTTTTAAATTTCATTAAAATCCATCTAGTTGTTTGTGAGAACGAGACGATTTATGTTTTAGGGGTTCAGGTTACACTTCTGTTCGCGGTGGAGAGATCAAGACCTTTGATCTCGCGATGAATGGTCACGATCTCGTCATTCCACGGTCCGCTCGTCCGCTTAAAACAGTAGAGGATCAGATGGCTCCGGGAGGCCACTTTTATGCATAAGTGGTGTCGCTTATGCGACAATCATTATTATGGTCATTGCGATAATGATTGCAAGCGGTGCAATCATTACACCACCGTGCAATCATTGGTTGCAGTCTATGGAACCAACCCAAGCCAGCCACATGGTCCACCAATGTGAGATAATATAGATTATGATTCATTTACACAAATAATTATTCATCCATCATAAAAGTAATGCACTGTGTTATATGGCCAATTAGAATTTTATCAGAGCTATTTATTTTATTTTAATTTTTTGAATTTTATTAATAATAGAGTATGTCATGTCAGACATACATAACATATGCACTTATCTAATATGTGCATGATATATATTGAACATATCATTTATCTGTACATTTTTAAAAAATAAAAAATATAATAGATATATAATTTAAAAATATATTACTTAAATAATTTAATAGTTATTGTGCATTGATTTTATTTTCTTGCCGAGTTTTATTTTTCTTTGAATTTTTATATAATTTGTTTATTATTATTTTTAAAATTAGTTATTTTACTTTCAACATAATACTTTATAATATAATATGATTAATATATTTCATAAATGAGATACATTTATTATTAAATAAATTTATGACACACTTATTTAAATTAGAAATTTTTTAAAATGCAATGTGACTCATAGTAGCATTTGATCGTGTCATTATCGTGTCATTCACCTATCAACCCTAAAGACCTTTTTAACTTCAATTTGAAAAAAAGAATATCACCGGTCGGCATCGTCCTTCGATAGCGCGCCTCATTTCTCTTCCTCTTCGCTGTTTGTCCTCGCTTCCTCGTCCACCTTCCCTATACCGCTTCTATGTCTTTACCCCCAAAATCTCTTACTTAATCTCCTTAACCTGCCACATTCTCTCTCTTCTCCCCCCAAGTTTCCCGCTTTCCGCTGCTTGAAATGGCGGAAGGTCGCCGGCTTTTAAGGTCTTCCACCCATAGCAATTGCATCCCGGAAAAACTGCTTCTTGGAGATCTGAATGCTGACCCCTTGCTGATTGATGAGCAACGAGCCAGGATACAGCTCCGGCAGCGCTGGGAGCTCGCATATGTTCTTAACTTCCTTCGCGTGAGCTTCGTTTGTCATTTATTTTTCTTCGTTCTTAGTTGCTGGTGACTTGTCCCGATTTTGGATGCCCTAGGCTTCGGTGAGTTTCTCGCTTAATTTGCGGTTCTTTTTGCGCTGCAGGTTTTTCGGCCGGTTATTCCGAGGAATCTGATGATTCCCGCTGAAGACATTGAGACGGCTCTTATTGCAGCTAACAAGAACTTGGGACGGATTCACATTGCGCTTTTGAAGGTCGGGCCTTTTGTTTTTTCTTGTACCTGGAAAGTTTTCTTTGGTGATTATTTAGTTTCCCATTTTTATTATGGCCGTGAGAAGAATTTGCTTCTCATTGGGCGATGTGATGAAATTTAGCATCTTGTTATTATGTTGTTCATTTTTTTGTAGTTTGTGCTCGTTTGATTGTGTATCGTTTGTGATATTTTACTTAACCAATTGAACAAGCTTAAGCACAAATTGAGAAGCTTCATATCTAAACAGATAGGCTTGAATTTTCTATTGCTTATTTATTTATGTCGTGAACATGGTCATTCTTATAAAACAAGCAACTTGATAGTCGAGTTTATACATTTAATGTTTTTTTTATCAGCTTACAAAATATATCATTTTATATCATTTTTTCAAATTTATGGGCCTATGTATTTTTAGTAGAGTATATTAGTAAAAATATAAGAATGATAGGCAGTCATAATGATCAAATCATTATATAAATCATCATTAGTCTTATCCTAACTATTTAGGGTCAATTTTATTTATATTCATTCTCTATTTGCTCTTGTTGTGCTGCATATGGTGTTAAATATAGAAAAAATATGTCATCACATTGAAAAAAACAAATCATTATAAAGATCTTTTTATTTGTTATTTTTATTTATGTGTAAAAAAATGAATAAAGCCAAATTCACATGTACAATAATAATTATATTTGTGTTTCTTGATGTGGTTATAAGTTTTAACTTATTGGTATTCACATATATTTAGTTAGTTTTATTTGAGGCTTGATTAAGATTCAAACTTGATAATAGATTTGATGAACAAGCTTGAGCATGACCTTAAACTTGTGTTCAAACTCAGCTTGATTCAATAAGAAAATAATTAACTAGCTTGAACATGGTGGTGCTCAACTTGACTCATTTATAGCCCTAGATATTTGTTTGCTTTGTATGAAGTTGATGATTTAAAGGAAAATATTTAGTAAATGAAGGTAAGGGGAGATATGAATTATTCATTTGACCGATGATATGTATTCTTCATGGAAGTTGAAAGCAAATTGGCTGTTTCAGTTCTTAAAATATGAATGCAATAGCTTTAAGTTTGCTTCGCTGTGTTGGTTCACTACAATTGTTTTTCTTTTCTTTTGTAAATATCCGAATATAATCTGATTTGAGTAAAAAAGCCTCCCAGAATATAAGCATTGCATCTTTTCATTACATTTCTGGATTTGGTGTGGATTATTTTTATTGAAATTGCACTCCAGTATCTTCTTTTACAGCTAAATTTTATTATTTTATACGGGAAATCCACCTAAACGTGTCATTTCTCTTGGAAATTCACCAGAACTTCTGATTTTTCAAGAAAACTATTTCATTTTAACTTCACGTGGGGACTAATGAGTGTATAAGCATTCAACCAAACAGCTTGGTATTCTTTTGTGCTAGCCAAAGAGTTCCTTAAAAAAATATTATGCGTTTACTTGCAAACTAAGATCTGGGTAGTTAAATGCACTACTTTGTGTGAGTGTTTTTCAAATGGCTAGTTTGGAAAATTAGAAATAGAACTAAACTCTTATGTGTTTTTCAGTCTTAAATTAAATTGCTAGTTCTTGTCTTAGTGCGTTTTTTTCCTACACAATCAATGGAAACTGTCCTCCATGATTGACAATTTGGAAGACGCCGTATTTATAGAGCAATCACGGAACCTAAGCTAAATAATTGGTGGTTGAAATTTTGAGCACTTCTATCCTGCATTTGAGTGCTAGATGGAGAACGAGTTGCATTGTTCTTGCTATTTTTTTCCATTTTTATCATGACGACCAATAAAAAGCAATGCTCACTAATTTATAGAAAATTACCTAGGTATATTATGCTCTGTAACAATGATAAACAGGTCACAAATTGTGGGTTTTTTTAAATTTGCTATTCATTCTTTTCTGTATATAGCCTTTGGATGAGTATTGGGATGCATTTAACTTGACCGTATCTATGTGGTGATGCATTTCTAAACATTACTTGTTTCTTGAGTTATATTTGGTTGATGCATTTGAAAATATATAATACAACAACAACATCAAGCCTTTATCCCACTACGTGGGTCGGCTACATGAATCTTTTTTCTCCATTGTGTCCTATTAAGAGTTAAATTCTCATTTAGATCTAATAAAGAATTGTTATTTCTAATATTTTCTAACCAAATATATTTAGGTCTACCTCTACCTTTTTTTACATGAGTCAAATCTAATACATCTACTCTCCTAACTGGGTCATCGGAAGGCCGTCGTTTTATGTGACCAAACCATCTAAGGTGACTCTCTCTAATCTTATCTGCCACTGGCGCTTCTCCAACTTTTTCACGTATATGCTCGTTTCGTATCCTGTCTCTAAGAGTAAAGCCACTCATCCACCTGAGCATCCTCATCTTTGCAACACTTAACTTAATAATTATGCTTCTCTTTTAATGGCCAACATTCTGCGCCATAAAACGTTGCAGGTCTAGCCACCATCTTATAGAATTTTCCCTTAAGTTTGAGTGATACTTTTCTATCACACAACAAGCCTGATGCATTCCTCCATATCAACCATCCAACTTGAATTCTTCTAATAATATCCCCATCTATTTCACCATCACTTTTAACAATAGACCCAAGAAATCTAAAACGTGTACTCTTATTAATGACTTGATCGTTCAAAGTCACAAACCCCCACTAGATCTATTACTACTAAAATTACACTATGTATTTGGTTTTAGATATACTCAAACGAAAACCTTTAGACTCTAAGGTTAACCTCCATAATTCAAGTTTACCTTCAACTCCCGCTTTAGTCTTATCAACAAGAAGAATATTGTCAGCAAAAATATACACTAGGGAACATTCTCTTGCAAATCTCTAGTAAGAACATGCATGACTAAAGCAAAAAGATATGGGATTAAGGCTGATCCTTTATGTAATCCAACTGAAATTGGAAAATACTTGGCCAAACCACCTTGTGTTTGAACACTAGTAACAGCTCTGGCAACATATCCTGAATGACTTGAATATACGCATTATTAACTCCATTCATTTTTAGAACTCTCCATAGCACTTCTCTTGGAACTTTATCATATGCTTTCTCTAAATCAATAAATATCATATGAAGATCCTCCATATTCTCTCTATACTTCTCCATCAAACCTCTCAATAAATGTATGGCTTCCATAGTAGACTTACCCGGTATGAATCCAAATTGATTTTGAGAAACATTAGTATCACGTCGTAACATATGCTCCATACTCTCTCCCATAATTTTAAAGTTTGACACATCATCTGAATTCCTCTATAATTCGCACAATCTTATGCATCACCTTTATTTTTAAAAATATGAATCAACACATTTATTCTCCACACATCTAGCATCTTTTTAGTCTTCAAAATAATATTAAAATTTAAAAATATATAATAAGCAACATAAAAGTTAAAGCTTTTGATTGTTTATATAATTGGCTAACTAATAATAAAAGAGTGGAGGAGATGCATAAAATAGTTAAGCAAGAGAAAAGAGATTTATAACTTTTATCAAGTTGGATGCATTAAAAACAAATATAATTATTGTCTTAGTTAAAAATGAACACATTAATTGAATATGAAAGTACTATCTTGAAAGATATTTTTTTTGGAATTAATTCTTTAAGAGTATAATGATAAGAATATGAGGTATGCTATAAATAAATCTAAAATTAGCTCTAAAAAGATGCATAAGGTAAAGTATTATGTCCAAATAAGATATAATTTGTTATTTTGAGAATTATGACTATATGAATATTTTGTTCAGCAAGTATTCTTATTAGAGTTTGAAGATTAAGAGAATGCCAAATGATTGTAAGTAAACATTTTAATATTTATGAATAAGGAATGTCTTCTGGCATGTTTGAATTTCTGTGAATCAAATTTATGCCCCATATAGTGAAGTTATGACAGAGAGAGAATAATGGAATATTAACTTAGAGGAATTATCTCAATATTGCAGGATAAATTTAATTCTACACTTGTAATATCCTTTATGAAGACAATTTGTATGTGTGTGTATCTAGGAAGGTGAGCGTCGAAAGCGGGTTATCTTGATGGAATCCTGAGCCCTAACTGTGAGTTGTTATGTCTTTCGCTTTAATCTTGGGTGTTGATGCTCATTAAGGAAAAAATATGTTAAATATATATGTCAAAATGACTAAAATTATGTATGATGAAGCATTAGCTATTAGAAGCAATTGTGGAGCAATGAAATAATTTTAGTAACATTATGATTACATCAATGGTCAATGTTTAGACTTTATCTTTTTGTACCGGCTATGTTCATGCTTAGAAAGGACATTCAAAGTGTTGGGCTATGATGTATGATGTATGCTTGCTTTTCATACTTGACATAGTTCGAAATGACAAGTCAACTATTCAAATCAATGAAAAGTTTGAATAATAAAGAAAATATCTTAGGATTTGTAAAATAAAGAGTAAGTCTGTAATATTGTATATTTTTTGGGTTTATATAAATAATTAATGACCAATATTACTAAACGATATAGTTGTACCTGAATGGTTTAGGTTTAAGTTTAAATAACTTAGATCTACTGTAAACAAGAAAGATGATATGGGTGAGGTTATAACTTTGAGAGTTAAGATTGTATTGTTAAAATGTGCAATATGAAATATACTTTAGTCTTAAAGGTAAATTGTATAAGATTATATTTAGATGATTATTTTGTTAGATTTGAAGGTTGGGTGATAAAGATGTCACTCATAGCTAAGTTGAGCTTGACTGAGAGGGAATTTTAAGATTGATGTCTGTATGAAAAAAATTAAGATTGATAGATTGAAAAATGATTAAACCAAAGGGATTATGAGAATATCATCTACTGTAGATAAGGTAATGGAAAATACTTAAGATAATTTTGGCATATATAATAAATGGTTGAAAATAAACTAATAAAGTGAGTAGATAAAGTTAATGTTGGAGAATTAAACAGTAAAAAAAAAGATAAAACAAAGGTTGCATGGATAAAAATTGGGTGAGAAGATTCGTGCTAAGTAGGCTTAACACCTTAAGTAATACTCAATAGGATCAAAAGAAGAATGAGGATTCATAAAGCTGTAAAAAATGTTTGGTTAAATATAAAAATGATGATAATGACTTGTAAAGATTAATTTGTAGGAGACTATTCATCACCAAGGTGCCTCTAAATTTAGTAATTATGTCTATTCATTATACATCTCACAATTTTATGGCTTGAATATGCTAGATAGTTCTCTATTTTCTAGCTCCTTTTTATATGCAATTTGTTCATGTTATCACACATGATATGGAAATAAGATTTATAGTCGGTCTAATGTGTACTAAACTGAGGGTGCACTGTTGGCAGGGAATTCCTCCAATAAATAAAAGTTTGAAAGATCCTGATGCATGGATCACATCTGTTTGCAGGAAGCTTGCAAAATGGTGGTCATTGGTTGGTTGAAGTTCTTGACTCAATAGATTGATTAACCTTTTGATTGTGCTTAACGATAAAGTTTAATTTAACTTATACAAATGGCTTGACCAGGTTGCTGAAGGAGAGAATCCACTAAGAGCTGATCATGGGTATTTATAGATCCGATCTACGCCTTTCGTGGTTTTTACATTTTAGTTATGTAACATTTCCTTAATTTGTGCAGGAGGGAGATACCATTATACAAGAAACTTGATCCAACTACTCGTTTGTTGATCTTAAAAGCACTTTGTGATATTCGTGCAGAGGTTATTCTTCTGACTGTGATATTTATAATTAATATCTATGGCATCACTACCATTACCATTCCTTTTTGAGCGAGTCAAAATTCCAATAAGTTTGGTTAACTTTCCTTCTCTTTTCCTTGTTCTTAATATCTTATGGAAGTTGGCTATTTCCTTGCAGCAAGATGATATATTGCAATTTATAGCAGAAGAGCTGAAAAAGGGAACCATAGTTGGTTCTTTTCGAAAGGAAAAGATGGAGGTTGGTGATAGTGGAGTTACTTACTGGTATTATAGCTTTGATTTTATGCATTATGCTTTTTGCTCTGTCATATTGTTCAACACTTTCTCATAGATAAGCAAATTATTCTATATGTATGTTATATATATTCTAAGGAGTTATATATGCAATATAATGCTTTTCGTTACATGATTATGATTGTTTGACAAATTTTACGCTGGTTGTTGATTGCCTATTCAAATGTGATGTAGGACACACTAACATACTTGTCCAAATTACATTGCTGTTATATATTTGGCTTCATTCTTCTCAGTGGACATAATTTATTTTTATTTTTCTTTTATGTTTCATCTGCATGGAATGTGAAGAATTTTGTGTTATTTAGCTTTGTATAGAAATCAAGGGGGGATTTTGGACATAGGATGGACTTCCTTATATTCCACTATTTAAATAGGACCCTCGTTGATGAAGGAATTCATTGAATACTTAATATAAGATCTTCATAGAAAGATCATCTTCTCCTCCCTCCCTTCTTGGCTGACCCCTTCAAGCCCCTTTGATCTTTTTTGTTTCTCCTTGCTTGGTAAATCCTCTACAACTCTAGGGTTCTCAACCATCTTCTTTTCTCTATTCCCTCTTCTTTTTTCTCAAGTAAGAGTAAGTCTTTTTCTATCCTCAATAAATCATAAACAAATCAAAAGAATTGTTTGTTGCAACCCGCCCAAGTGCTGTCGAAGCAAACTTCAACCCATAGACTTTACATGATGTGTTCTTGGTTAAACTGTTATTTTACTAACCTTTCCTACCATCATACTAGGCTTCTCGACCCCATACTCTAATCCTTCACCTTCATCCTACCACCTTCCATCTCATGGTCATCACCATCACCCTTTTTTCTTCATGGATTTAATTCTCACCTAAGGCTGAAACCCACCAACAATCCCCTGACCGCACCTCCTTTCTGCCATCTTATTTAAATATTTCCCATAGGGCCTTTCATCACAAAACCATATCTTAACTACCTACTTCCCAAATTAAAATCAACCAAATACAACTGTATATCCTATAAATCCCCCCCCTAATAAAATATATTCTTTTCTCTACTATCATCCTCACATATCCTTCCCAAATCACCTTGATTCTCCCACACAAAAATTTCATCGAGACTTGGTTGAATTTTCCTATTGGAGTCTTGGGGGTAACTTGCAAGCCAAAACAATGACAGTTATATGCTCTTTCAACCCTGCATTCATTGCTGGATCAACTGTTGACATCGAAATTTTGAAAGAAGACATCATCTGACAAACTTTGAATGGGTATTGACATGTGCATAGGAGTGGCCATCATATGTGGACTATTTAAAGCTATATATTGGTTCGATAATGCTCTACTTTGGGTTTGTGATTTCTATTGTTGAATAGCACCATTAATTTTATCTTCATGAGGCTTTCATAAAATTTTTGCAAGTTTTAATCACCCTCCTTACTGTTGTCTTTCATTCCACCATTTTCTGGGATTCTTGCGTGCACCTAACAAATTTTTTTTATGGCCTTTTATCTCTTTTTATAGTTATAAATCAATAAAGACATTACATTTCTCTAAAATTTGAAATAGATTTGTTATTAAAAAAAAAGTAAATCATATGACCAGAAACTTATTATTACACAAAGAATATAAAAAATATAGATTTACCTTTGTTTTTTGCAATTTCCTTGCCTACAAAACTAAAAATACAAAAATGCCCAATTGCCCATATTTCTTGATGGTTTGCCTACTACTTGATTTGCACAGAATTTTTTTTTTTGAATTTTAGATATTTTTCCAAAAATGTTTGGTAGTAGCATGTTGTTTGCATGAAATTGCCACTTGTATCAGCATATCTACTACTCAATTTTGCTAATTTAATCAGCATGCAAGTTTCATTTCATTCACAAATTTATCGGTTATCTAGTAATTGCTAGACTACCACTGATTGAAATGTTTGATGAACATTTCAGTGAGTCATAGGCACTCCACTTGGTTGTCAGGATCTTCCTATCATACCTTATGTCATACCTCTTCACTGCTAAAAACTTTATAGTCAGGTCCGCAGTTTGATGATGAACTTATTGATATAAAGATCAATATTTTTATGAAGAGACATAAATTACAAGAAATAAAGATCTACTATTGATTATGACATGATGTGACGAAGAAATGAAAAGATAAATATTTTTAACTCATATTTATGTAATTTTTTTTTAATTTTGACCTTTCATGTAATTTTATCTCTTTGTATTCTTATGGCTTTAATTTCTTCATTATTTAAAGCTTATATATAGATATAGCTATGAAAATTTAGTATTCATCACACTAAATTTTTAAATACAATTAAAATTACTCTTTTTTTCCCTCCAATGTTGGTGGCAAGTTTGCATCTCTTTGGCGAGGTTGAGAATGATAAGTATACTTTGCTGACCTTTGCTATTTCTTTTGTTTTTTATTGTGATCTTTTTGCAAAACTCTCCTAAGTTGTAGCATTACTTTATCAGCAGTAATAATGATTAAGGCAAACATGTAGGCTTTAGCAATTACTTTTACAAAAGTTAACAAAGAAATGATTCCTGTCTTTTATTATCATATTCCATAGATCAAAATATCTCTTCATCATATATTTTATCTTTTCCCATGTTGTTGTTTAGGAAATGTTATAGTTTAGGAATTGGTTCCTTAGAGTCACTAGTACGCTTTGTATCCTTTAATATGTTGATTCGATTAGCCTGCAAAATATCAAATCAAGCTAAAATCAAACGTGAGCCTAATTTTTAGGATCCAAATTAAAAACAGGCTGAGCCAGAGCTATTTTTCTGCCAGGATCACGCACTTTAATAATACTATCATTATTTAGGATTTGTGCATGCCATCTACCTTTCATGTTACTAGTGATGCACATTTAAAAGTTTTATATTAATTCTCAACAACTTGAATAGGCAATATCATCGCTTGTGTTGGGATGTTAATAACAAACTACATAACATCTTCAAATAAACATAAATTCAAAAAATGGGTTGGTTTGGACTCTATTTGAGATCAGCCGAGGATTAGCCAAAATTTAAGCTTGAGCCCAAAAATTGCGTTCATAAAAAGCTTTTGTGAGCTCAAGCCTTCCTATGGCTTGGCTCAATTGACAGCCTATTCATAGGGTTTCTTATTTAAGTAACTTTAACTCATTAAAGTAGGAATTTTTTTCCTATTGTTATATTATTGTTCCAATTCTGAAATGATAATCTTCTCTGCTTTTTGCATTTACCTATATAAGGTATGAAGGAGACCGAGTAATTGGTTATAGGCTGTACAGAGAAATAGGTAAAACCTGCTCTAAACAGAAAGCAAAAGGAACGGATTGGGTGGAACCGCCAACATTTGATTCTCACTGGGAAACAATAGCTATTAATCTTGAAGAATTTCAAGGAATAATGGTAAGATTTCTTCACCCATGATTTATATTTGGATTAATATCGCATGAACTCACTTTTCTACTCTGGAAAACATCAGGACAGACTTTCATCAAGCAAGGTACCTGGAGAATCCTTAGTAGGGGAGACTATAAAGGCCAAGATTCTTCCTGTTCTTAAGAAAATTGAAAAGGTTAAGTTTGTAGTTTTTTATGGCTAAGAGTAGTTGTTAGAGTTGCTCCCACTTCAAATATCACTGACGATTATATTTATTTATTTATTTTAGCGATGGAGGGTGTTTTTGAGCTGCTTGATACTTTTTTTTTTAATTTCATTTATTTCTTTTCAAACTTTTTTCCCTTACTAACTTCACCTTTATATGGATTATAGAAGAAAGCCCAGCAAGAGAGGCTAGCTCTACAATTGGAAGGTTTTCTGAATTGTAGAGTTGGGACCACTCGCTCCTGCCGCACTCGTAGGCCCGCAAGATACACATTTGGTATGGCATATGTATCTCACTTATGATCTCATTATATTTCTAGCAGCATTTTGACAATCTTCCAAATTGCCCATAATCAGTTGAGCTGACCTGCTCAAATCAGTAAGGAGAATCACATGCTTATAACACTTCATCCTCACTTTTAAACTTCTGAAGAAATGTTGAATGATTATTGTGCTTTAAATATGCTTTTAACGGTTGAAATGAACCTATTCCATGGCGGGCAATTAGATTGATCGAGTTACTTTTTCTTGTCTTTAACAATTTAGTCTTCGTTTGGGACGGCTTTTTTACTGCTTCTTAAAGCAGCTTTCTAGTACAAACATTTTAATTTTTGTACTAAAAAGCTGCTTTAAGAAGCATTAAGAAAGCTGTTCCAAATAAAGCCGTAGAGTTTGATCACAATTGGAGATCACTTTACGTTTTTTCTTCATTCTTAATTTAATTATCCTTGGTATGCAATGAATACTTATATTTTAGATGTAAAATTGCTTTTATTCTTTATTGTCAATTTAGTATTGAAAATATTAATTTGGTATATTTCATTAATTTCCATGCATACCAATGTTGCAAGTGAGCGGTCTCTTTGTTGATTTTCCTTTACTCATTATGTTACAAATTTCCCAAGAATAAGCAAAAGCCTTTCTAAGGTTTTCTTTTAGTCACTGATAAATTTTGATTTGTTTACAGATGAGTATGATCGCTCTATTGATGAGGCCATAATGATATCAACGTAAGCTTAGTCAGATGCTCCTTTACCTTTTAATCCTTCTGCTTTATATCCTTATTTGAATCAATCTGTTTAAAGCTATAATTATTTTAATCAATCTGTTTAAAGCTATAATTATTTTAATCAATCTGTTTCTTTGTAAGCTCATCCACTTGGAACTCTCTTAACTATAGGCAGCTCTTTGTGATTCAGGGAAGCAAATAATGTGAAACCAAGAAAGGCAAATGGAGAAGAAGACAAGAATGGCTTGAGTAAGGAGTATCCTTCCTCAAATGGAAGAAACATGGATACCCTAAATGAAAACTCTGGCAATGATGAAGACCTCAAGAGTTCTGAGATTAGGAATGATTTGAAGAACTGGGATAACCTCAGCAATTGTGACAGTGAAGATGATGATTATGATGGATTCGGTGATCGCACGGGAACCGATGATGAAGATGATAATAAGGTTTACTCTGATTCGGATAAGGAAAATGTGATTCCACCTTCAAAACCAGCTCGCCGCCGCCAAAATTTTGATGCTTATCATGTGCTGACAAAGAAAAGGATGAGGCAAAGACCAACTAAGAATGCAGGTTACACTGAGGTCATCTCAGATTCTGAGGATGAGAAGCCAGCTAAAAATCTCAAACCAATTACAGTAGACTTGAGTTCTACTGAGGACTCTTCTTCTGCCAAATCAGAGGAGGAATCTGGGGAGGATCTTTCCTAGTTTAAACCATGTTGATGAAAATTTTTGATTCCTTTCTCATTGCGGTATATGAAAGCAAGAGAAATTTTTTGTTCCCAATCCCTGTTTTGTGGCATAGCAATATATGATTAGATCAGTGTAAAATCATCAAATTTTGTTTAAATTATTTGACCTGTTTTGTACTTGTAAACTTGAATGTTTTCTGCCATATGCCAAACAATTGGAAGGAATTTCTCATTTCTTTTAAGAGTTCTTCATTGCCTTGTAATGTAATTCTTCATTCATTTGGTTTTTTTTTTATTCTGTGCTGAAGTTCTTATGTTGGTTAAGTACTTCAAAGGAGAATATTGTACTTAGACATCTACGTTGTGGGGCATTAGTGGTAAGATTAGCAATATCAAATGGCTTAGATCCACATTTGATTTGCACGAATCTTGATGCAGGATGATGAGATTGCCAAAAGAATAATTGAAGACCATTTTGGTGTTTCAACGAGGAATAAGAGGAGAGAAGAGAGTTTTTGAGGTGATTCAACGACTAGATCAATTTTTTATCGATAGAATTGAGATAGGAAGTTTTATCTCATTCTATGAAGCTTAATTTCTTCTCATTGTTGACCTTCACATATATGGTAAATCCGTGCGAGCGAAATTGACGAGAGTAACTATTAGTGAGCACGAGTTTTGGCAAACACAGCGTTTTACTAAATTGCTCAAACGACCTCCGATGTTCAAATGGACCGCGATGATGCGATCAGAGCATCAATTACCTGAAAGGGGACCCCTCGCAGTCGAATTGAGTGAAGATGGTTGAAATCGATGGCCTACGAACGTCGCATTGCGCGACATTGCCCAAATTACGTTCGTTCGCAAAACGGACTTTGCCGTTGCGTTTGGAACATCTAGACTACCTAGAAATGACGATCATATTGTATGGGTCATTCGAGCGAGCGAAAATATAAATTTTGCACGAGTTTTGAGGCGACAACTCTTGCACCAACTCCCTTGCAACAAAAGTCCATTCCCAAAACGGACCTTTATGGGTCATTCGTTGGCAAAACAGACTTTTCTCTATCAACTACAGCCTCCACCTTCCTCTACTGACAACAAGACCTCTTCTATTACCTATTTTAAAGCTCACAACTCTTGCACCAACTCCCTTGCAACAGAAACCCATTCCCTCTCCACTAATCAGATCTCCAATATACAGCAGTTATTGCTTCTAACTCCACATTGCCAAGCTGCAGCCTATTCTTCCTCTACAATAAACCCATTAGCCCCAGCAGACAACCAGCCCAACTAGCCATAAACCTAGCTCATTCTTTAACACTCCTATAACCACTACCTCCAACCTTCTCCAACTCACAAATCCAGCCCAAATCTCACTTACAGAACCCAACAAAAACAACCCACTTGCAGCCCATTCCACCTCCAAATTTTAGCTCAACATCTCCCTATCCATATTATAACTGCAACCTTCCCACCTAACAACCCATAACTCCACATCCCTTTAACCTTCAAATGGTCAGTACTTGCCTATAAGCAATATTAATGGACTTTTGAATAATATATATACTGTTTATGGGCATGAATGAAGGATTTTTTTATGCACAAAGCAGTATGTTTACGAGTGAAGATAAAAAACATGCAAAAAACACTACAATTCACCTGTGAGTTGATCAGCAGAAGCAAGGAATTCGTAGTGCCAAGTTATCATATTAAATGAATTAATTTGCTTACAAGTGATATTGGGAGATTCGTAACAAACGATACTGCTCATTTATAGGCAAAAGCACACTCCCATGGGCTTAGCTGAAGGATATGGTAACTTGGAGTAGCAAAATAAACTAGATAATATTCTTCTTGCACATAACGATCAAATCTAATTCAGCACACGCCACTAGATCCGCAACACTCGTACAAGCGAATATAAGATGTTTTTCTTAAATTTCAAATGAAATATTGTGCACTTTCCAATGATAATCACTTACATAATTGATTATATTTAAACATTTCAAAATGTCCCTCATGTATTAAATTAAAATTCACTAAATCTAAATGTGACACAACGAGAAGCGTATCGACACCTCTGAGAACGTGCAACAATCTTGGAAAGCAAGCGAGAACCCCAAGAAATTAACTACCTCCTTTAGAAGCGAGTCACTATTTTGAGAAGCGTGCACATGAATTTAATGTATGCATGTGCTATGACCGTTGCTTTGAACTCCTAATTCAAAGGTCTGAAAGTGCTACATGGGTTAAATATTCAAGTCGAATCCTCCTCTTTGAAAGGATAGGAGTTGAGAGAACTTGAATTAACAACAAATGTTTAATCATAAATCCACCGAGATTATTTATTTTTAAAGTTCATATTAGGTCTTCAATGACCCTTTAAATGAAACTTATTGTATATATATAAACTCTCGATTATTAGTGTTCATATGATAATTCTTGAGGTCTATAATAGAATCCAATCATTTGTTAGCAGGCGAACAAAGTTGATAAGGTTCTCAAATAACTAAATACTTTAATCATCGACGATGATCGTGTTGAATGTTTATCTCAACCGGAGGGAACTCTACCCTCTCAAATGCCTAAAAAATTCCAATAAATGCAAAATTTGAAATAACTTTAATTTCACCCCGATAATGACCGTGTTGAATACAAATCTAAACCAAAAAGGTCCACATAAAATTAAAAAATGGCCCCAAATCTCAAATTGTTTGGGGTCAATTATAAATTAAAATTTTAAAATATATTACTTTTCAAAAATTTAAAAATTCCTAATTGAAACAAAGAACCTAAATATTGAAAGCAAAAATCCATTCATTCTCCACAATAATTTTTCGAGGTTAATAAATTTAAAATTACTTCAGTTTACAAAGAACGAATGTCTAGTCAAGGATATCACTAAGATCTTTTCTCAAATCATCTTTTGCTAGTAAGAATGTGACATGTCCTCGGTGGTTTCGCCATCAAATAATATCACAAGTAAATGGTTATGACTAGGGTCCTTTGACATGGTGGTTTTGCCACTAAATGGTACCACTAAATTATTGTCACAATCAGAGCACGCATATTTTCCAATGACTCTAAATCATTGAGTGATGAATCAATAGGGTATAATCGATAAGGCACAAAGTCCTTTGTTAGCTAAAGTGGACTCAAATCTATCCCCTTAGGAAGACATTCACCCAAGTCTATAAGATACCCTTGTACAAAGCAACCTATGACTGCCGACAAGGATCCTTCAGTCAGGTTGGGTCGACTACATCCTCTCACTTAGACAAGGGACAATGATGGCCCGGGATGACAAAACCATATGATCTTGATCGGGTTCATCATCATTTCCACCCACCATTTTCTTTAAATGCACAACGATAAAATTTCAATTTTCAATATCCAATATTAATGCTACTATATGTTGGGTACTAAGTGCCTATTCTAATGACTAGCCTTAATCGAAAGTTCTCTCTCGTTATCGAGAAGAGTAATTAACTATAGAGGCTAGCACCTATAGGAAGCATGAACTTAGAGCATAAAGTCCATGCAAAATGAGGGTGAAATCTTTGGGTGATGTCTTATCTAAAACACTATCTGCCTTCTAAAAATTTACCCTGGAACTTAATCTGGTTAAAACTCTCCTCTTCTACCGACAAAAAAAAGGGTAGCTACCGAAAAAAAAGGGTCGTGGAGAAGTCGAAGGGTGAATTTTCGGAACCCACACTCACATTCAAGTTACTCTTCATAGTTTAAAGAATGATGATATAGTAATGTAATTTTATGCACATGATTGATCTTCATCTTGATTTGCCTGTATCTTGTGCTATGTCAATTGTGAAATACATTAATTTTCTTGTGCCTACATGTTATTCATTATTTGATCTTATGACTTGATGTGAAATTTTATGTGTGATCTTTAAATGATTTTGAGGTATATGACATAAGCAGTATTTACAACAAAATAAATATTTTTCCATGTGATAAACATCACAACAAACTTGCAAGGTGACAATATAACTTAAAGATCAAGAAAAACAGATTAGAAACTTGATCGAAACTTGTTTGGTGAGCAAATGGTTACAATAGGTTTGCTATTGATGGTACTTTTCTAGGGGTGTAAGTGAGTCAAGCTGACTTGTGAGACGGCTTAGGCTCGACTTGATTATATAGCTCATGAGCCAAGCTCGATGAGCTAATGAGCTAAGCTTGAGCTAGACTTGACTTGACTCATTATCTCGTGAGCTGACAAGTTTTGAAAAATATTTAAAAATTATATCTCAAATATATTAGCTTTCCGGATTTTAAGTGCAGAATTGTTAAAAATTATCTCACTTTCTTATATTATGTCATTATTTATTATTTTTCTTCTAATTTATTATTCTTGCCATTATTTTATTATAATAATTACTTAAATTATAATAATTTTCTCTTTTCAATAGTAAATGAGTAGGCTTAAACTTGATTAATTAATAAAGCTCAAGTTCTGGACATGATTGACTTGAACTTGACTTGACTCGACTGGTTTAGAGACATATACTTGACTGCTATAGAATATCAATGATGTATTTATACTGGATTACAAGAGACCATTGGAATTTGACACTACTTGAATTCTAAGAAAGTAATAAACAATGGCTAGATTTTTCACGCCCAACCAACACTCAAGATTTCAAAGAAGACTAGAGACAGCTACACGATTTCATTTCTTGTGAATAGAATGCTATCAGACTAAAATATAAATTGGAATTTGATCATGATGAAACAGAAGAAGTGAAATATAGTTTGTACTAAAGAAAAAAAACCTTGCTGCTGTAAGCACTCCAACAAAGTTGCAAATCATTGGCAAAGTGCTTGTTTAAGACGATATATGATTTTTATTTTAGAGATCGACATGAGTAGAGAGTTGTGAATCTATAAAACTAAGATAGCAACATCGACAATGACAGGCGGCGATGGTGTAGGGTAGTGGCAGGCATTGGGGGTGGGGCAACAGTCAATGGCAATGAGTGTATATATATAGCGGCGGGTGGCTGGTGGTGGCAAGTGGAGTGTGACGGTGGGTGGTGGCATATTGTAACAGCGAGCGGTGGTGAGAATTTTTAGAATATTTAAAAATTGTTCTAATCTAATAATTTTTAAATACATAAAAGTTGAACTACTCTTTATTCATTTTAAGTCAAACCAACCATTAGTATTTTCTAATACTCTCCTTTTGCTTTA